AAAAAAAACAAGGAGTGCAAGGTACGGGCTTATGATTGAGATAAATTCACAACACAAGAATAGTTATATTGCTGGAGGTTCAAAATCATCATGATAAATACCAAAAATTGTCAAATAAAACGCGTTCTTATGAAAGGTCATATAGGCGAACATCGTGATAAACCTCTCTACAAATGTTCAACTCAAATGTTCAAGCAGCATAATTTAGGTGGAATGAATGCGAGAATAGTAGCTGATAGTCCCTGTTTCTGAAAAAGAGATGAAACCATTATTGTCGTTTCCATGGTACTCGCAAGGATAGTCGATCACAAGAGAAAAACCACAATCAAAAGTTTTTGCTCCATATCTTTCCAAACTCACAAATTTGTGAGATGAAGAGAGTAATCATTGTTATCATTACCAACAAAAAAACGTACGGTCGATGGACGGCATATCGCACGACAACCTCAGCAATTCTATTAGCTTCGTCGGCATAATTGCGAAAAGCTTTTTTCCTGGAAGACTTCAATATAACTTGAAAAACAGCCTAAAGAAAATACTGAGGGGAAAACATTAGGCACCTATTCGGGCAATTATAAAAGAGATCCTCGGCAGCTATGCAGGTTCCGTTCAGACCTGCCGATGCTTTTATAGATTCTGGTTTTCCATCTAAAAATTAACTCCAACCAGTAATGGACTGGTCATATATTACTACACCATGATACCTATGTATTTTGCTTGGTACGCGCATTGTTGATCCGCAGGCTTTGATGTTATTGTGACCTAAACAAAGAATAAATAACAAGAAGCAAGAATCGTAAGCTCTGCAACTTTTTTAACTTTCCCAAATAGAAGCGTTCGGATGATTTAACACAAAAAGAAGGCGCTATAATGAATACCTTTGCAACATGGCTTATAGACGATAGTGCTTCGCCACGAAAACCATACGTCTGCATGGACTGCAAGTCCTCAAACTTATGCAATTTCGATGTCGTGAACCTCTCGCAGACGATGTCCAGATCATCTTTATGAATTCCTTTGCCATTGTCCTAGGGCAAGGTCTCCTTGACTCAAGGCAATTCGTCGCGTTGAGGCGTTCCCTACCTGGACTTGTAGGAGACCCAAACCACCATTTTTAATAGTTACTGTTACTTCTGTGGCGTCAGCATCTAGACTATTCTCGATCAGTTCTTTTACTGCATTCGCAGGCCTGACAACAACCTAAATTCAATTAGGCTTGGTGAGTGGCCATCAACTTAGCACTCAGATTAACATAAATCATGCATATGAATGGTAGTTGCACACAGTTAGGGAAAAATAAGTAAGGGAACCTTCTTTGATATGCAAACCAAATAAATTTATGAATGAAAATTAGTTCAGTTGGCGCTCAACTAGACCAAAAACTCATTCAAAGATTTCAAATTCAGTTTCTTATAGCAATAAAGGGTCTGTACCCTATTGAGATCTGCTTCAGCAGATCATCAAATGATCATCAAATCATGAATAGCTTCTGCGTCCTATATCAGCGAAGTGCAATCACACTTCTTTTTTCGTTTCAGATGCATCACTTCCACTTTTAATGGATCAAGAATATTCAAGAGACGGACAAGTCATGAATGTTAAATGAAGAGAAGAAAGCAAGATTATCTGCCAGAATATTGACAACTAACATCTGATTAAAGTGTAAAATTCTCTGCAGAACGAGGCGAACTATGAAAAAAGTTAGAATCCAGGTA